AGGGTTCATGATGAAAAACTTCATTGCACCAATTTCTCCTACTTCTCTTTTCTGATGGCATATGTGCATGGAAAATGCTTATATAAAAGATCTAGTTTTCAATGCAAAATTTGAATGTCTTGAAATTGGCGTAAAAACACAATTTTATCTACAGTTCTATCAACTGAAATTGCATCCCACAAGCTATAATGTCTTACTGTTAAGTGGCAAGAAATAAAGTATTCGCATTTTGATTACGGTGAAAGTTAGGTTCAACCATCACATCCACATCCTAAAGCATTTCGTAAGATGTTTTTCTTAATATTTCAAAATTCATTTAGTACAATACCGCCCATAACTTCAGCAAAAAAGGCCTTTCACATTTCAGAATTCAAAATTCGTCGCGAACGTTGCATTGTCATAAATTCTTTCAAAATAGATATTTCCTAAAAGCTGAAGCGCATAAAATCAGCTCATCCAGACGAATTTTAAGATATGCCATCCAAAGTGTACGGTAGACACGGTAGAAAGTCAACATCGCGAATCATTTTCCTTTGCGTAGAGGTGTATATAACCGTCCCTACCAACAATTCAGACAAACTCAAAATGTTGACATCCTACCATATCTACCGTACACCTTAGATGTTACAGTAGTGCTTCATATCCAAATTCGTCTGGGCGAGCTGAGTCTATTAGCGTTTTAGCTTTTAGAAAATTCTATATCTATTCTGAAAATAGTTAGGACGATGCGATGCTTGCGAAGAATTTTTATGTGAAATCACATCTTTTTTTTTGCAGAAGTGATGGGCGGTCTACCAGTACTAATAATCAAATATGTGAGATAAACCTTTTTCGCTACTTTCATATGTGAGCATTTAGTACGTAGGTCATCCTGTCCATGCCTAATTTACCTATACACTTATATTTGCCAAAATGAGCATACCTGGAATACCATAAAGGTCACATAGACAATTGATGTTTTCTGTTATCGAGTTTTAAATAAGAAGTGAAAGCTATCTTATTAGAATTGTTTCTATTTTTTTCTTCATGTTACATTAAAATGCTTTAACATGAAGTAATTTACGCTTCCACCTCATTGCAGTGATTGTGAAGATCAA